TATAGATATCTACATATTGTACCATGACCAAACCTTTTCAAGTCTCTCACAATGTTCCCAGGGTTATAGTACGCACCAGCTACAAAGATATAAACTGTAGGGGTGCAGCATTAGTATGGTTTTGGGTTCAAATAGCAATCTTTGTGGTACTTTGTATAGTACAGTTTGTTTCCCACAATCATGTAGTAAATTTTGCCTATAATGGACTGAATAAACAAAAATAAATTGCGATGATATGAAAGTGCAACACACAATACTTAAGTATACAAAAAAATGTAATGGCACTACAATAAGCAGACAAGTCTACATTCACTAATATATGAAATATTCAATGTCAGCAAAAAACAAAACAAAAAAACAAAACAAACACAGAAATGAAGAAAACAGATTATGATAAATGTTGTTCAGAGCAAGTCCATGGCAAGTGGATAATTAGGCAGAGCCCCCGATAGGGAAATACAGAGATTGGATGGGGGTCTGGGGGCAAAGCCACTGGTTAATTCTTTACAGTATAGACTCCCTACCCAGAGACTAAGTCCCCAACTCCATGTCAAAAAATATATTCATCAAGCTAAGTTGCCGTGACTGGGCATGCCCTTTGGGCACTGCCCAAGTGGAGGGTTTACAGGGGGGGTCTGCCCCCCAACACCCCCTGGGAAACCTCTTAACCTCATATGCCTAGCAAGATAGAGCTGAAATCAGGAACACCGAGTGGACTTTGGCTGAGAGTGGCGCTTTCTACGACTTTTTGTCCTTTATTTGTTGAGTTACTGTTTGTGTCTGCAGATTATTTCTTTTGACGAAGACCAACTTTTTGGCCTCTGCAAAAATATATTCAATTTGCCTTAATTTTGTGCTTCCATACTGAAAAGATTAACCAGTCCCCACATTAGGAAGGTATTTGGTTCACACTGTGATGTTTGTGGTCTCAGAAATGGATTAAGTAATAGGGATTTGATCTCAGTGGGGTAAGGTCACTTCATAAAGATATCAATACTTTCATTTAAATCCTTTGACATGAAAAATAACAGGAGATTCACACATATAGTGTTAAATAAATGCATTTGTGAAACAATTCTTTTTTTTATGTTACTGAGAGCCACAGACAAAGATGAACACCAACTTACAGAGCATAAGAAATAAAGTCAAACACATTTACAGCTGCTGTTGCCTCATTTTTACCACAAAATGATTAAGATATCTGCTGCATATCACTATTCAGAGACTAAGTCCACAAAACACACACACAGCCAGAGCTCTTAATGTTGTGTTTTCTATATGTTGGTATGAAGCATTAATGAATGGTGAGGGGTGTACAGGGGGCTCTTACACCCCCATCTAGAGAATAAATAGAAAGAAGGAAAGGGTAGGCTTGGATTTGTGTGTTCATATGTTACCCTGATTTTGGGACTTCTTCTCTGGAGGGTGTGCTACTCTCAGGTACAAAACCCCCAAAAGTTATCGATTGTGCTTTTAGGATGGAGTTCTTTTGTTTGGTATTTTGAGATGTGGAGCCTGATGGATGCATTCCTATAGATCAATTGGGTGTGATGTCACGAATCGGAGTCACCATTCCACTTGGTGAAAACAAACCCGGAGCTCGCAGATACCTCACTATCAGCGTAAGCAAACATGGCGTATGAATGCTTTGAATCTTAAAAAAAACAAAAAAACTGAAAAAGCTATATGAAGCAAAACTAGAAGCTGTGCAGCAGAAAAAGTGCCCATGCCGTCTGTCTGCCAAAATTGGGACTGACAACCTTTGAAATATTGAATTTTCCGATATCTAAGACTATTTGATCAACACACCAGGCAATAGAAATCTTTTTATGATAACAATTTGTTACAGTAATCTATAATTTTTAGTTATAAATGTTATTATTCTGTGAAATCAGTGCCGTTACCTAACATCACTTTTCTTCCTATTTACTAGGTGTTTATGTAAAGGAGAGAAAGAAGTCACTTAAATGCCTATATGCGCACAATGCAATTTTCTTTCTCCTCAATAATTTGAGATAGGCCCTCTTCAGTTATTTCATCTTCTGGACTATATGACATTTCAGACACTGAGGCAACAGGAAACTTTGGTTTCTTTTGAATGCTTGGTATCTCCTTACCTAGGCTTCTTTTCTTCCTTTTCTTCAATTTTTTTTTAACAGTATGACTGCTTTGTTTTCATCTAAAGGACAGTGCTTGGGATAAAGTCTGGGCGAGTTGGATCCGAGGATGGTTTTCCTGTATATTAAAATTATGATGAATCAATTTATTACAGAAAAATGTAAAATTGCTGTTGTGCTTTTTGAAGTATATAACTGCTGACAAAACCTAATGTCTGCAATGTTGACCTCGATGTTGATAGTGTAGATAGATAAGAGTTTGAAAGTTATTATCTGTAAACAGTTTCCACCAGACCCCCAAGCACTCCCATCAGTGTTCGCGCATTTCATGGCCTGTACCCATCGCTTCATTTTCTTAGGTTTCTTTTCACGATCTGGGAATATATGAAAGGTTAAACGTTTCTTTCCCATCATGTTGTGGTTCGTACAACATAGCTCCTCAGCATTTTCACGCTAAAAAACTAAATTCTTTGTAAAATTTGGCGACTCTGTAAGCAAAGCACAGTGAGTTTTCAAAATCACGAGAGTTTGTTTTCACCAAGTGCTCGTTGCTAGGGGTGGTTGCTAGACGTTATCAAATCGGTCAATTGTAAATTTTACCTCTTATTTTCTTACCTATATGGTCCTATCATATACTAGCAGGCATAACTTGCTATGACACACTAAGTAACCAAGCAGAAAACTACATCAGCAATAATTTATCCGTCTACCAATTCAATTTTACATTTCTTTGGTATAGTTTCAGTTTCAGTTTGGAAGACTACAAGGTAAAACATGTAATACTTTGTTATACATTTAAATAATAACCATGCAAACATGAGGAAATCATTAATTGTCACCAAGAGCAACATACCCTCCATACACTAAGTCCCAAAACCAGGGTATCATGTGAACCCAAAAACCTAACCTAACCTTTCCTGCATTTATCTATTCCCTGAACAGGGGGGAAAGCCCCCCTGTACCCTCCACTTATTAGCACTTCATGCCAACTATAGAAAATGGACATTAATAACTGTGGCTGTGTTAGGGTATTGTGGACTTGCAGCCGGTTTGTTAAAATTGTGCCCACCCAAAGAAAATTTGTATACTTGACATACAAAAATAAAGAAATAAATGCATATTTATCAGTCTAGACATGCATATCAACCAGGCAAATAGATAGATAAAGGTATATCTATCAGATATATAGACAGATATGCATTAATTTCTGTGTATATGCATTTCTGTATTTACGAATATTCATTGGGTCGGGCCTCGCACAATTTTAACAAACCAGCCGTTAGTCTCTGAATGGTGCTATGCAGTGGACACTTTCGTCTTTAGCAGCGACTATAAGGCCACTGCAGGTTAAACTACGTTCTATCCTACTCTATTTCTTCCACTCTATAAGATAGCGGTGTCCATTTCTCTCTCTCACTGCACATCACACTAACTTTTACCATCAAATATCAAAATGAAATAATCTACACAGGCCTAGGCAAAGAATACTGTCTGAAAAGGGAAAAAAAAAAAATTGCAACAAATACTTAGCAAAGACTAAGTTCTGGCAATCCAGCGAGTCCAGAGTCCAATAAAAAAATGCAGCAATTGGGTGGGAGTCTTGGGGAGAAGCCTCCGAGTCAGAAAGGTTTTTGGTTCATATGGCAATGTTTGTCAATTCCCGAGAATGGCTAGAGTAAAAGGGACTTGGTCTAAATTTGTAAACAATTACCAATAATACCATTTATATCATTTGCAAGTGAAAATGACAGACATATCACACCTTGAATACTGAAACAAGTGCAAGATTGGTCGGCTATGTCGAACTAAAAAAAACTATCAAAAACATTCCCACATATTAGACAAACTCTAAAATAAGAAATAATTGCACTGTTGGCTTGACGTGAAAATAAAAAATCCCCATGCATGTTAATTATACTAACTTCATTTGCACCCCTAAGAGACACTATCAGGAGCAGAACAACTAAAGAAGTTACCGATAACCTTCGTCAAAAATCCAAAATCAGTGGTTGAATTTATTTGTCTAATTTACCAATTATTCATTTTGGATTATAAAACTATGAATTTAATGGAATCTATTTATAAACATAAAATTACATAACCTTTCTGAACATCAAATTAATATCTTACACAAGGTAAACTTCATGAAAACAATTTCATGCAAACCAGCAATAAATTAACAATCTACAACATACATTCCAAAAAACTGAAAAGCCAAATATATATAATTGCTAACTTATGTTCTGAACTTTCATAATGACCTAACATGACCTCAGGATATGAAACATGTTAAGAAAACATACCATTTCATCCTCATCTGACACGAAGTGGTTTCATGGGAAAACACACAACTTTTAAAGGATCCCTTTTGCTATTCCAAAAACATATAAAATCAAGGGGAAAAAATATGGCAAACTTGACATTATAAATACATACAATGACGGCCCGACTGCACGGTGGTTCTCTACTTCACGCCTCTTTTCTTCGCCTTTTTATCGAACTTCACTAATTATCATTTGCCATTGAGGGTTCCTATAGTCAATTCCACCTCCAATCTACTACTTCAACTCAAGTTCAACGCCCCTAAGGTAGAAATTGCGCCTGCCATGTGCTTCATCTAACTTTGTAACAGCATTCCACATTGAACCCAGAGTGAGCGCAATCTGCCGGTAAGGGTAAAAAGGACAAATAAACCCAATTTATCACAAAATCTCGTCCTAATCGTCCTCGAGATACAATACGAGTCATGCGATCCTGACAATAAGAGACCAGATGGATAGATAGAGGTCTTGAATAAAATATAAAAAAAAAATAAGAAATGGACCATCTCTTTTTTCCGGCTTCCATTCCGTTTTCTTCCTTCCACTTAAAAAAATTACTTAC